CATGTGGATTCATGGATTTTTTTTTCACATTCTGTCTCTCACAGTTGAAGTGTACCTCTGGTGCAAATTACTGACCTCTGTCATCATTTTAAGTAGGGGAACTTGCACAATCGGTGGCTGACTAAATACTTTTTTGCCCCACTGTATTACTCTAATCCTCAGCTACTTGTTTTGGCTTCCAATCAAATACAGAATAAAAAGTATTGGTTATTGTTTAGAAATTGTTTAATAGCTTTGGGCCTAAATATATAACTTAGGTGTTTAATAGATAAAAACCTAGTAGGCCTCTAAGGTCCGCAAGATCTGATCATCATTGGCGAAAAACAGTATTATTCAATACAGTTTATTACAAAATAAAAAGTTGTCTCACCCATCATGGTGTTGAGCCAGAAGGCCAGGTCTTCTTTCATGGGCAGAAGGCTGGAGTCATGGCGGTAGGGGAGCCACTGGTGGTACTCCTGGGGACAGGCCAGGCCTGGTCCAGAGTGTCTGTACCTTAGTGAGAGACAGCCATTCATCCCCAATCCAGTCAACTGCCTCGGGGTGATGGGACTGCCAAGAGTGGCTTTCGTTGCTCCAACTTCACTGTCCATGTTTCAGCACCAAATGATCTTTGATGAATCCCACTAGTCCAGAGAAACTGGATTTAAAAAGAAGACCATTTAAGACCGCACATGACTCCGGTCCTCCAATTTTTAATCATTTATTGCATCTCAATAGTAAGTAATTTCAAGCACACCTGCTCTTCATCAGTAATGTGCAGAGTAGTGTTGTCTCAAATTAGGGTATGACATTCACACAGCTGACCACCTGACTTCCTCTGCTCCCTTTACGGATGAGTTCCATCTCACTCCTCTTCTGTCACACCAACCCTCTGCATGTCCTCCTTCACTACATCAATGAATCTTATTCTTTCTCTTTCCCTCCTGTCATATTCACCATCCTTTGTCCTATATGTACACTATCCCTCCTATAACTGTGGGCCTTAATTTTATATCTGTTACCCACGAAGAAAGTTAAAATAGATCAGACATATTCAAACTATGAATAGCAGTTAAAATAACTCATATACCTATGTTGTAAAGGTGCATCTACATCTAATTAGATTATAATACATCTAAAGCCAAATACATAATTTAAAATATAATGGTTTTTCAAGGGCAATATTTGTAAGTCATTTAAAGTGAATGTACAAAAACAACAAAACATGTTGAAACCTTCTCCCAAAGCTGCAGCACTGGTTTTCATGTGCAAACCCTGTTTTCACAACCAAACAATCCACACAATCATTAATCAAAGGGATTAAACTGACTGCAGGCAGCTTGTGTTTAATAAGATGTACAGCCACAGCCCCGAGCCAGTCTCCTGGTGCTGCTGCATGGCTCATTTGTCCTGTTCCCAGAGCAGTCACGATCGTAAAGCTCAGCACCATGCAAAGGCTTGCTCTCTCTAATCAGCTAGAATTAAGATGACAACATGTACAGTGGGTCAGTGGGTGTGCTGACTGATATATAGTAGAGATATGATTACTTCGAGCCAGTTGACTGACTTTAATGTGTTACTATAAAGTAACAAGGCAAGAAAACATTCTGGATGTTGGGGGTGTTTTTCTAAGCTACCGGTGAGATGTAAAATAAGATCTGAGCAGTCCAGCATAGGCAAAAAAATCAATTAATTTTAAGGCTTGTCAAATGGCAAAACACTTCACAGAGGGTGGAAATATTACAGTTGGAATAAGGATATGCTTCTTGTAGTTCTTTGACCCAATGCAGAACCTGATATATTGCCATTAATTAAAAGCAGAGACAAGTTTAATCTTTTTTACTACACATTCCTACAGCAACCTCAGCTGCACCGGGAAACAAGCCTCATTGATGCTTATGTGTGGGTTCTCTGAGCGTAGTCTACAAGTCATGACACAGCAGCAACAAAATTAAGCCAACGCCGAAATACCAAAAACTGCTGCTCATGTGGTGGCCATCTGAGGCTAACAGTAAGCCTGTATATTAAAGGTAGACAGTTTTACAGGATTAAAAGCCTGACAAAAAAATTGTTTTGCTCCCGGTGGCTCTTCATAACCAGTGTAGGGTGGGTGATTTTGACTGACTCAACCATCAAGACTTTACCTAGAGCTGTAGTTGATTGCTGTCTGCTAGTTTTTACTTCCACTAAAACCAGTCACACAGGAGCCAAATGAGAGATTGGTTCCCATTGTTACCTTACAAATATGCCTGCTGTGTGTTGCAGCCCATTCAAGAAGTTTGTACTCATGCTTATGATGACTGAAGCTAGGATTTTATTATTCAGCTATTTGCCAATATTAGACAAATATGTATTTCTGTGTGTTGCACCTAAATGGTTTGAGCTTGATGACAAAGATTGCTGGCATTTTAAGAATTTACCAAACCATCCGCTTGTTCATACATTTATGCTTCAGTACTATTGAAGCTTCAAAATGCAGAGTTCAAAACCAGTAAACTAGGTAACGTCACATTGGCCATGTCAATCTATTATATACAGTATGTGATCCTGAGACCCTCATAAATGCTGTGGTAGCCATCCAACAAGGGAAATTGGTGTGTTGCTTAGACAACGTGTCAGATTTTTAATAATAATAATAATAATAATAATAATAATAATAATAATAATAATAATAATATTTTACTCTTGTTTCACACCAGACAAAAACAAAATGATATTGGCGTCCTTTGAGCTGTGCTTCTAACATAACTGATAAAAATCTTGTTTCTGGGAAATCCCACTCCCAATATTTATTACCTTTAGTAGAATAGTGAAGTAAATGCACAGCTGAAGATAGATGTTAGGGACCCAGATCAGCAGGATCACAGCTGGCTTTTTGATACCACCTGTGTTTTATCTATCAAAGTACATGTAGCTCCTCGTTGCAGATAAGCACTACAAGTTCAGGTGTAGTTTGCTGTAAAGCTGACTTCTCTTGGCAGCAAACCTCTTTGTAGCATGTTCACAAAAGATGTCAGGCAAAGCTGCACTGAATTCTGGCCTTGGGTTGTGTGAGATGAATGTGGGAAACTTGTAAAAATACCACTCTGACTAGACACAGTGTAAAATATCATTTTTAAACATTTCATGCAGATGTGGGACGGAGGCAAGCTATATGTGGAGGGCACAGGCTGCCTAGTCTGATGCTGGATTACAGATTGACAGACGGGAGCCTCTGTCTCTAAGAAAACATCCAGGTGCAATATTCACACCTCTGCTACAGGAGAGCTCTGCTGGGAAGGGAAGGCAGAGGTCAACCACTGGCCCAGCTCTCAGACACTAGCAGCCTTTATATTCCTGCAGAGCTGCGTGTAAAGGCTGTAAGACACACACATCAATGCCGAATAAACAAACACACAGGTCCGTGCATGCAGCTCTGATTTACACATTGTTTACTTTGCCCAAACTTTAATGCTTCCAAAGAGAGATGTGCTTCACTGTTATCTCACACCCTTTAATGTGTTTTCAAAATAAAAGCCTAAATCTTCACTTCTAAATGAGCTATTAGAGGAAAACTAGCAAAGTTACACACCTGACTACCTGAATTATTACGGACCTGAGCCAAAGCATTCATTTAAATGTGTCTAAGTAAGACAAGATGTTATTTATGAATGGGATTCTTGCAACCCTCGGCTCAGCTCTGCTATTAAATGAAATCAAAGCCTGGCAGCATCTGGTAAACAACTACATTCCTTTCCTACATGGCAGGCACAGCTTTGGTGTTTACTTTGGGGTTAAAACAAGTAGAAATCATTTCTTCAGCTTCCAACAAAATCTGATGCTTTCTGTGTGGCAACTATTTGAAATTACTATCAATAAAATATTGGACGGCAGTAGCGCTGCTGGCAGCATCTTACTCCATCAGTTTTGAGTCCGTCTCATTTGACTTGTTGGAAAGTAGAAGAGGTAATGTAAAACTACTGAATGAAGAAGAGGCTTCAGCTCTCACTCCACGACCTACCCTACGATGCTTCTAGACTAAATAAACTCCATATCAACACAGGATGAGAAGGTCTATCGCCTGCTGCACCTCTTTATGCTCCTTCGATAAAACACGCTCTTGCTCCAGTAAAACCCTATCAAATCAAATTCTGGTACCAAGATATACATTTTTCAATCTTCCACTGGTTCAAACAATGAGCTCCTCAGAACAGTTTCTTCATTTAGTAACTTCTGTGAGTGCTTTCCAAAGCTGACATTTAAAGACACGTTTTCTTCTGACAGAAAAAAGGTAAGTTATGGTTAACTACATGTAGTGGTAGTTGTTGTAAAATACACAAGCAACTCTGAAATAGTAAATTTTGATACATTTTCTATTTCTTGAAATAAATTGTTATGACCACAGCTATGATAATAATAATAATAATAATAATAATAATAATAATAATAATAATAATAATAACAATAATAATAATAATAATAATAATAATTCCACATAAATATAAAATATACTTACAAAACGCTCACAGTAACTGTAGGATTCTTCCACAGATGTCTCTTATTCACAGTCTTCTTCTTACGTGTTTTTCGTCTGGTACACACATCACTCACGACCAGATGTTCAGCGCCCTCAGGTCCACCACATGTGAGTACACTAAAGTATGTAAAGGGGGCCGTCACTTTTAAATGCCTGCAAGTTTGTGGTGTCAGCTTACAACCGCTGAAGACAGGTTAGACCGTGGGAGAAAAGAAGGAAATACATATCTGTTGTTCCCTCGTTTTTGTCGGGGATTTTTTCCCCCCTCCATGTTTAAATAAATATATTTAAACAGGATATCTTAATTAAATTACATTTTTCTCCTTCTCCTGCTGTTAATAGAAAGTAAATCCCATAGCAACACATTTACAATTACAGTCGAATAGCTACTGAATATTAAAAATGTTTAAAACAAAGATCCTTTAAAAAAAATCTAGTTTGCATGACTGTTTGCAGTGTTTTAATATAACAAAAACTTTTTAAAAAATGACACTATGGGTAAGGAATCATGAAGTTGCCATCTACATTTAGATGGTTCTTTCAATGCCTCAGAGTTTGGAGTTTTGTTTTCTCTATTAGTTTTAATTATGTGTGCTTGCAGATATGGATGCTTAAAACAATCAGTGAAATTAAGGAATTTTAAAAAATGTCTTGAGTGGAGATTACAGACTGCTCCGTAGTTTGAGGACAGTCTTACGTTTGCTTATGACTGGTCTGATGCAAGTTAGCTAAATGGTTAGCTGTCCTAGTTTTAGGCACCCCTACAGTATAAAATATGGATGTATCTTCCAGGTATGTTAAATGTGGAGCCATGTGAGGAAGTGACTTGAATCTGTAGTGTTTTTAATGTCCCCTGTGTTTGCAAAAAGGCTTCCATAAGTCCATGGATAAGTCTTCTCATCTCAGAAAATACTTTCCTGCTGACTTTATGGACTCAGTCACTCATTTTTGGTCATATTCACAACAGAAATGTGTAATTTTGTAAATTTTGGTCATGCTGTGTTTCAGAAAAGGATCATGTATGTTCATTGGCTAACTAATTAAAGATTAATTAATTAAATTATTTATTTTTATTAGGCATCCAAACACAACTAGCAGCAATGGAGCAACCAGGGAACATAAAATCTCAATGATATTTAGCCACTAATAAGATAAAAATATCTTAGTAGTTTCATATGAGGGTAAAGTTTTTGCCTATGCAATCACTCTGCAAGCAATCAACTGTTTGTTGTTAAAGACATACAGTGTTGGGGAGTAATGGAATACATGTACCGGCATTATGTATTTAAAATACAAAATATGAGTAACTGTAACCACTTAAGTAGGTGATAATTAGAATACAGTTACTTTGTTGAAATAAATGGATTCCAGGGTGGTCTCTTCCTGTTTCATATGTTAGGCTATCCCTTCTCTATTTTGGTAATTCCACACATTGCCGGAAACCCAAACAAAACACAGAATAAGACGCGCTAATGTAAGCATCCTGTTAATATTGGTGATGTCAGTTACACAATGGACCCGGAGCCAGCACAACAGAGCCAGCAGTGCATGGGCAGGAATGCATTTCTTACTTGGAAATTCTGACACCACTTCACATTTAAAGAAGAATGGGATGGGTGAAATCTGACGTGCAATGTAAACTCTGTTTGCCAGCAACCAAGCTGCTCTCAGCATCAAAAGACTCCACCTCCAACCTAAAGAAACATCTGGAAGTAAGTTCTTTTTAAAAACTAAAGTTTGCCTACTGCAACTACCTTGTTTTAGTTGTGGTAGCTACCTGGGTTGTGTGCCACTACAGTAACTTCGATGAACTATTGCTGTTTGTTTTATTACTATTAATGAAGGCTACATTACAACCTACTAGCTACAAATAATCATGTGCAGTTTCTGAAAGCAGACAGAAAAAAAACATTACTGATACAGAAATAGTTTTCTTTACCAGATTGCTGCAAAAAGTGCAGCCTTATCTAATGTCCACCCTAATCTTACTCATTTTATATTAAGATTTAAAAATCTAGTTGGTATTGCGTTCAGAACTGCACATGATTATTTGCAGCTAGCAGGTTGTTAATGCATCAAGTCTAACAGTCTGCAGTCTATGAACTAACCTCAACTAACGCCAGCTAACAATGTTAGATTGGTGGTGACTAGCCTTCATTAATAGTAATAAATCACGCGGCAATAGTACATTCGTGTAGTTGTAAAAAGCATGACAATATATCAAGTAATCCAAAGTAATCAGAATACTTTAGTCACATTGAGTAACGTGACGGAATACGTTACAGACTACATTTTGGGCCATTTTGTATTTTGTAATCTGTAGTGGAATACACTTTAAAAGTAACCTTCCCAACACTGTAGACATATTTGCATCTTCTTTTGCACTAAGAAAATTTCACAATTGAAGAACTTTACGCTTTGGATTTGGTAAGTGAAATTGTAGTGTTTTATTAGTCATTAAATAGCACTACTTAGCTTATATGTGTGTTTTTGCATTGCATCTTACACCTAGTTAGGAAAGCAGCTAAGTTAGCTAACATTAGCTGATAAATTCACTCTTTCATTCAGATATCATGGTATCACAATGTCCACCTTTTGTACTTTTGAATGGTTTGTATATCAACAGGACTTAGGTTTTTTAAAAATTAAAACCCAGAAATAGATGAATAAAGATGTGTACAGCACAAGTCTGAGCCACCTTTCATTTTTTTTATATTTTCCTTCCAAGGAGCCAGACTTTCTCGTGATATCTGCACATAACAAGAATCTTACCAAAGAAGCAATTTTACTTTGTTACTAGAAGCCAGTTGCAAAAACAAATACTTTCCTTCCATTTCTTTAGCTGAATTTACCAAAAACCATACAATAGCATTTGACAGCCATAAAATACCATCAGCATGGTGAGTAGTGATGAGAATTCCGGCTCTTTTTAGAGAACCGGCTCTTTCGGCTTGGCTCACTAAAAAGAGTGGGCTCTTTCAGCTCCTAACCGGCCCTCAACCGGCTCTTCAGGCTGTTTTGTTGCTTTAATTAATTTATTATCAACAACAATATAAAATTATGCACAAAAGGAATTACTAATGTAAAAAAAACGGTGGTTTTATTTATATATGTTTATATATAAATACATACGGTCAATGTTCCCTCTAATTTTTCATGTGTCTGAGCAAACACACAAACTCCCTGAGCGGTCCCTTGAACCACTGTGAGCAACATTAGACGTGTGCACTGTGGTCACTAGTGGTGCAACGAATCACGGTTGATCCGAAATCCGAACCGATCCCACTCCACGGTTCGGTACGCACGTGATCCGAAGATTTGAAAGAGAAAAAAAAAGCATGTGTGTGGTGCGTGTGGTGGGTCTGTCAAGCGATAGTTATGGTCAGCGCTAGCGATCCAAGTGGCGGAGCAGAGGAGTTTGCGGCATTTAAGCAGTCCTTTGCTGCCCAATCCGACTGGGCTAAAGCTATTACAAAAGCTACTGGGGTGTTTAGCTGCAGACGGGAGGCCGTATTCCGTTGTGCAAAACAAGGGGTTTAAACTGTGATAAACGTGCATGAGCCACGCTATGATATCTCGTTGCGTGTCCACTTCAGTGTGACAAGATCGTTCCAAGCATGTATGAGCAGGAAAATTTTAAAGTTATGGGTGAACTGTCCCAGGCATCTTCTGTTGCCCTAACTACAAATGGGTGGACCTCCAGGGCAACGGAAAGCCACGTTATATCACAGCGGAGTGGTAGATACAAAGCCCTGTACTGCCCTATAGATTACAGTACATTAGATTAGATGAAACTTTATTTATCCCTCAGGTGGGTTTCCAGTAGCACAGCACCGACAGAAGTTGCAGAATGTGAGCAGAAATATACCATATATACACACATATAAATACAGAGTATACAAAAGGGATAAATAGGAATAAGAATACAAGGGAACGGCACATTTCTAGTATTGGGAGTCTATTACACTGTTGGATATTAACAAAAACTATTCCACAGTGAAAAGGCACTACAGCTTACTTGGTCCCCCCTCCTTTGTCCCCGTTTCCCCTCCCTCTCCCCTCCAGCCAGGAGTTAAACAGTTTAATGGCGTGTGGGACAAAGGACTTTTTAAGTCTGCTGGTCCTTGACTTTGGGAGAAGCAACCTCTCACTGAACAGGCTCCTCTGGTTGTTTATGGCCGTGTGCAGAGGATGCAGAGGATGCCCAGCATGGTCCATGATGCTGGGCACGTACAAACTTCAAAACACGTACTGCAATTATCTTGTTTCACTTTCGTTGTGTTTTGGAATTTGCATGTGTTTTGGAGATTCAGAAATCAGAAAGGGTTTTATTGCCAAATGTTGAGCAGGTTTACAACATTGGGAAATTGCTGCGGTACTTAGTGCAAAACACACTGTAATACAACAGTTAAATAAACATAAAAATGAAAATTAAAAGTGCTAAGCAGATAGATATATACATGAATGCAGTTGATGATCAGTGCAAAAATGGAACAGATGCAGAGAACACAGTATAGTCATATGGTTATTGTTCATTTGTCCAACAGCAGAGGGGAAGAAACTGTTCTTATGGCGAGAAGTTTTGGTCCCAATGGACCGAAGCCTCCTGCCTGGGGGGAGCAGTTAAAACAGACTGTGCGCAGGGTGAGAAGGGTCAGCTGTAATTCGAGCTGCATGCCCCAGTGTCCTGGAGGTGTACAGGTCCTGCACAGATGGGAGTCTGCAGCCAGTCACCTTCTCAGCAAAGCGCACAACACGCTGCAGTCTGTTGTGGCTGCACCAGGACACCAGACGTTCAACCTCCCTCCTGTATGCAGACTCATCCCCGTCCACGATGAGTCCAATAACGGTGGTGTCATCTGCAAACTTGATTAGCTGAGGTGCAGCAGTTAGTGTACAGGAAGAAGAGCAGAGGAGAAAGAACACAGCCCTGGGGGGACCCGGTGCTGATGGTCCGGGAGTCTTTCCCAGCCCCACGTGCTGCTTCCTGTCTGTCAGGAAGTCAGTGATCCACCGGCATATGGGATCAGGCACATTCATCTGGGAAAGCTTGCCTTGGAGATGGTCTGGAAGGATGGTGTTGAAGGCAGTGCTGAAGTCCACAAACAGGATCCTGGCATAGGTTCCTGGGGAGTCCAGATGCTGCAGGATGAAGTGTAGAGCCATGTTGATAGCATCGTCTACAGACCTGTTGGCTCTGTATGCAAACT